CATAAAGAATATGTATTAATTATTGTAATTATTGTCAAGAAGCAAGCTAAAGACCCAATAATACCATGATATATTCCTACTTCATATTTTGTATGAGAGGTTCCATCTGTACTATTCATTACTTTAGGTGAGAATGGTGATACATTATATTCATTCATAACTGATGTTATAACAATAAATAGACATGATGCCAGAAGTAATATTAAAATTAAGTAAGTGAATATTGCATTTCCGAACATATTTCTTTCTTTTGTTTTTTATTATATAAAAAAAAATAACAATGGCTTTAGCCTAGATATATAAAATGTATTTAACACAAGAGAAAATTTTTTTTAAGAAATTATTTACATTTCTAAATATATTAACTTTACTAGAAAGAAATCAAATTTATAAGTAATATTATAATCATAAATAAATTCTAAATTTTATTACATTTTAAATTTGGATGATCGAAAATCTTTTTATAGAGCCATAAAAAGTTTTTTATCTTACTGTCGTCAACTTTATATTGTTGACAAAAACATTATTACTACAAGTTGTAAATTAAGTAAACTTCCTGGGTTATTATTATTTGTATCAATAAAAAACATAAGTAATAAAAAGATAATAATTATTGCTTTTTCGTTCTTTACTGCTACTTTACCTTGTTATTGGGTAATTCCAACATTATCATCTAATTTTAAATCTATTTTAACTTTTTCAAAATTAATTGTTAATCCAGGATGGAGAATATCAACTATTCTGAGACCTACAGTTACTCCTGTTTTTTAACTATTCCATGGAACAATAATAAAGATAAAAAAGTAATTACTGTTTGGTGTTTACCACATAACAATTTAGCAATAGCTTATAGCATAAGTTCCATTTTTCATTTATTATTACAACCTATTTTAATTAATTACCTTCTTCTGAAATTGATGTAAAAATTATTAATAATGATAAATGGATAACTAATAATTCTTTAATAGTAAATAAATATAATAAATATACTAATTATAATAATGATTATAATTATCCCAAAAAAATTCTTTCTCTTGGATCTCGATATTTTATTCATTATTTATTTCAGTCACATATAAATGAAAATACTGCTTCTCTATCAATATGGCCTTTTAAGTCATCAATTAATATTCAAGAAAAATTTTTACCTTCTGATTTTACATCATCTCTTATTTGGGGAATTCATCTCTTAATTTTAAGTCAAAAATACTGAAAATATTTATAAAAAAAAAATAATTTTTCTATATATAACTAAAATGAAATTCATAATTAACTAACTAATTATACAATGTCGTTGTCGTCGTCGTCTTCATATGCAACTGTTATTATTGATAAAATATTTAAAAATGAAAAAGAATTAATTTTAGAAAATTTACAAAATATTTTTAAAATTGCAAAATATTTAATTTGCTTTATATACCACCCATTGAAAAAAATAATAATGATGATGATGATTTAGTAGAAAATGTAAAAATATTAGCTCAAAATATTCCAAAAGGAACACAAGACTTTCTTATAGTATACATTACAAGTGAAGGGAATAATGAAGAAAAAGAATGTCATTCAATTAGTTGTATGGATAAATATTTAAATATACATAAATTTACTGAACAATTTGAAAATATTGAAGAATATTTTCAATTTTCAATGATTAATAAATATATATATATTTAATTATTGATAAGAGACAATATGAATCTTCATTCTTTTACAGTTTTTATTTAAAAGAAAAATCTAATATAATTTATATTAGATTAAATTTAAATTTATTAGAATCAACTAACCACTTTTTGGATACTAATTTATTAATGAATGCTAATCTTCGAATTATTATTTTTGCAATTATAAATTCTTTAGTAGCATAAAAAGAAGAAATATACTCAATTTATGATAAGATAAAGTTCTAAGTGGTATTAATAATATTACGAATCGACTAAAGATCAAGTTAGTTGGTTTAAAAAAATAAGCAAAAAGATAAAATATTCATTTATTTTTTTTAGATTAAAAGACAATACAATGTTCAATATACAAATTACATTCCTTCAATTAACCAAAATTATTTAGATAATAACAAGATAGATTGTTGCCTATTCGGCACGACATCATATACATAAAAGTTGAGAGTTGAGTTTTTCCTTAATTAAAGTGGACAAGTAATCCTTCTCCCTTAAAAAGATAGAGTCAGTGGCATGAATAAAAAGAGTTTCTTTAAGTTTTATACTATGGTAATGCAGGCTATGAATTATATTTGAGATGCCCAACGCCGTCAGTTCACTAGACATACACTTGATACAGTTGTACCCTCCTCGTGGTTGTAGTTTCTTAATCACATCAATTGCAGAATTCACAATATTGTCATTCAAACCAATCAACCTAAGGTTCACTATTTCTATGCTAGGTAGGGACGTCAGCACTTTTGGAGAAACTTCTGCTAATACTTGAACATCCAAGAGCTTCAATTGATGTAGTGTAGACTTGACAACATGGTATAGCTGTGGTAGAAGGGTATGAGCATTGTCGTTATTCAACATATTCAACATATTCAGGGAAAGGAATTTGAGGTTGGGAGGTAGTAGATAAATATTCTTAAGATAGCCATTAAACTCTACCAAGTTAACTAAGTTATTCTTAGAATTTAGGTGGTGCAAGATGGCATCAGTTTCGCAGTCGTTAGTTATTTCCATAGATGAACAGAGGTGGTGTTCAGTGATTATGGCTAGCAGATCCAGCAGACCAGGAATATAAGCGGATTCACCTGAGATATTAATTTTCACGTTCACTTTCGATGGTGATGAGATAATATTAATGTTCACTTTACAGTCTGGAAGAACTGTGCAAAAATATTTATAAAAAATAATATAAATATTTGAATTCTTAATCAAAGGAACTATTTCTTCAACTATTTCATTACATTTGATGTTCTGTAGGATATTGAACCTTTTCTTCTTTATATTAGTCTCTTTACGGATACGCTGAATTTCATGTTGGATAATTTCAGGCAGCCTTTGTAGTACTATGCCAAACTTCTGTACAAGATTAGAAACTTCATGTTTGATAGCCTTGATAGTCATTTGGTCATCTAATATGTCTAGTACGAGGTGCACCAGCCCAATCTCAACATCACTATGTATCAAAGCAATGTGGTACTTCGGCATATCTGGTTTTAAATGTTTAGGTATATAGCCAATGATGCTTAAGGCAGGACTAGGTGTCCAATTACGAGTCGACTAAAGATATAGTGAGTATGTAAGATAAACTGAAGCGGAAACTGGGTGGAGTTGCACCACATTCTTTTTTAACAGTAGCTAGTGGTTTATTTTTATAATCAACTTACAGAAATTTATTGAAATTTTAAATAGTGGCATATTTATTTAATCTTCTGCCAGAATTCCAAATGAAGTTAACGATATTACGAGTTAGTGAATTTAAAAAAAAATAAAGACTTCTCCCTTAGAAATATTTTTTATTTTAATCTATTTATATTTTCTGTAACATTTTCATGAATTTTTGAATAAAACATTGTTGGTTTTACATTTTCATTATCAAATAAATTATCTAATATTTTACTAGGTTTAATATTAAGATAATAATGTTGACTACATATTGCACATGGAATAATGTATGGTAATAAACTAATGTAGCAATGTAGAGTATATTTAATATTTTCATCCATTTTATATATATCATTTAATTCTCCTTTTTCAGCTAAACTATGAAATATTTTCCAATAAAAGGGTCCCCATCCTTTAGGACCATAAAATTGAGGAATTGGATATGTATCTGTATTATATATAGTGTAATGAAGTGATCCAGGAAAAGAATTACTTTTTTCAATTATTTCTAAATGAGGATGAGCTATTTCATCTGCATCTAGTTTACTAATAAGATCAGCTAGGGTTTCTACTCCATTTATCTTCAAATTATTTAAATGAAGCTTTTGTAAATATAATTGGCGACTTTCTTCATTTTTCATGTATGTTTCTAGAGCAAAAATTTCTGATGGAATTGAGTATTTTTCATTGTCAATAATATTTTGAATTTCTTTTAAAAATATAGTATGAAATTCAATAGGTGAACATATAGAATATTTTTCTGTTTCATCATCACTAGCAATTAAATGTACTACTGTTGGTAAAGTATGAAAAAAACTAGATCTAAGTATATCATTAGCTTTTTTTAAATTATAATTATCATTAATATTTTTATATTTAGGATGCATAATTTTTAAAAAATCACTTAATATAACAGAAAAAGTATAGAAAATAAATGTAGGTAAGCATAAAATTGATGGAAAATTTTGATTATTTTCTTTATTGTAAAAAAGTTTTAAATTAAAAAGGTATTGGCCTTTACCTTTCATTTTTTATTCATTAAAAAAAATATCAATATTGGTAAAAGTAACTTAATATTATTTTTTTTTTCATTCTCTTGGTTAGTAATTATAGTTGATTTTTTCATCTATGGGATGATCAGGACATGTAAATGGTTTTTCTTTAACCCATTCAGTATTACGTTTAAGTTCTTCTTCTTCAGCTGGAGTAAAATCATTTTCAATTTTAAACATCTGACGAATTTGTTCTGTAGTTTTTCCCTTAATTTCGTTAGCAATCATCTTACATGTCACTTGTTCTAAACTTTTAATATCTAAAAAATGAGCAGCATTCACTAAATCGAATAACATAGTTTTATCTTCAGTTTGTAAAAAATTGTAATCCCAAGAAGAAATGTCATTAAGTAAAGTAGCATTGTCATAATCTAAAGGAAGAATAGATGGTGGATTTTCTGTATAATGTTTACAGTAGTCTATAACCATTTTCAAAATAGGTGTATTTATGTTATCACATGGAATTACTTCATCATTACTAGCTTCAATGCAATTTATCATTTCACTCAATAAATTACTCATACAAGCAACTTTTGTATCCACAGTGAAAATATCACCATCACTACTTTTCAATTTCAATGTTTCCATTGTTATTTTTGGGTGATGACTCTAGCTTTACTCCTTACTCTTTTATATAAATGATTAAAAAAAAATTATGATTCAGTATAAAAATCTGTTCGTAAGTAACTTGAATCTATCTTAAAACAAAAAATCTACTCAGTAGAGACTATATATATATGTCATGCCTAATAAGCAGATAACTTTAATTTTAGAAAGGGCTTTGTAGAAAGAAGTAAGTTAAAATTTATCAATCCATTAGACTATATGGGATGATCAGGACATGTAAATGGTTTTTCTTTAACCCATTCAGTATTACGTTTAAGTTCTTCTTCTTCAGCTGGAGTAAAATCATTTTCAATTTTAAACATCTGACGAATTTGTTCTGTAGTTTTTCCCTTAATTTCGTTAGCAATCATCTTACATGTCACTTGTTCTAAACTTTTAATATCTAAAAAATGAGCAGCATTCACTAAATCGAATAACATAGTTTTATCTTCAGTTTGTAAAAAATTGTAATCCCAAGAAGAAATGTCATTAAGTGAAGTAGCATTGTCATAATCTAAAGGAAGAATAGATGGTGGATTTTCTGTATAATGTTTACAGTAGTCTATAACCATTTTCAAAATAGGTGTATTTATGTTATCACATGGAATTACTTCATCATCATTACTAGCTTCAATGCAATTTATCATTTCACTCAATAAATTACTCATACAAGCAACTTTTGTATCCACAGTGAAAATATCACCATCACTACTTTTCAGTTTCAATGTTTCCATTGTTATTTTTGGGTGATGACTCTAGCTTTACTCCTTACTCTTTTATATAAATGATTAAAAAAAAATTATGATTCAGTATAAAAATCTGTTCGTAAGTAACTTGAATCTATCTTAAAACAAAAAATCTACTCAGTAGAGACTATATATATATGTCATGCCTAATAAGCAGATAACTTTAATTTTAGAAAGGGCTTTGTAGAAAGAAGTAAGTAAAATTTATCATTCCATTAGACTATATATAAGCTAATGTAAAAATTTTATAATAATTAATTCTTTACTAAAGACATATTTATATAAATATTTTTATTTATTTTCAGATAAATTTCTGAATAGAAATGGATTCTATAATAGATACTACTACTACTACTACTACTACTACTACTACTACTACTATTGAGAGTTTGAATAGAAGATCTAAGAAATTTAATTCATATGGAAGTTTAAGATTTGAAAAAGAACGGTTAGATACATTTATCGAATGGCCAATAGAAGAATGGGTGAAACCAAGTGAATTGGCGCGTGATGGATTTTTTTATTTAAGAACAGATGATAAATGTGTTTGTGTTTTTTGTAAGGGTATTTTAACAAAATGGGAAGAGAATGATACGCCAAGAGGTGAACATAAGAGACATTTTCCTCACTGTCCATTTATAATGAATGAACCTGTAGGAAATGTTTCACTTGAACATGGAGAAATAATCTCAAGAATATCAGAATTAGCCTTATATGATGATAGTAATGATAATAGATTTGTATTTAAATCATTTTTATTGGATGTAATTGATGATTTTCCCAATATTATTCCAAGACATATGCCAGGATCTTATGCAGAATGTGAGGGACCCAATAATGATAATAATGATGATAATGATGATGATGATGATGATATGTTAGGAGGAGGTGACATGTTAGAATTATTTAAATATACTTTACCCTATCGAAATGACTATCACAAGTATAAGAGTAGACTTAAAAGTTTTAGAGGGTGGCCTAACACTCTTAAACAAAGAGCAGAACAACTAGCTGAAGCAGGATTTTTCTATCGTAATTTAAGTGATCATGTACAATTTTTTTATTGGGAGGGGTTACGTAACTGGAACTGAAGATATCCTTTGGAAAGAA